GGACTTAGGAGAGCATCTCATCAGAGCTATCCTCCTCTACCTCCTTTGCAGAAAGGGTCTACTACCCAGGAGACTAGTCCCGCCCACCTTCTTAAGACTTATGGACAATTCCTAGGATTGTATATCCAGGCCACAGAATCCCACACACGTAGAATTAGGGAGTCTACAGGGGAAAATCAATACTCCTAATCAACTGACACTGAAACACAGAGGTGTGTCACAGCTAAAATGATATAGGAAAATTAGACTCAATAAGCAGCCATGAGATCCATTATGAGGCTTTGAAGAACTGGATTCCCCCAACATTTAGCCAGCATTGTGAGCCAGAAATGGGTTCTGAGGCTGCAGCCAGGTGCAGGCAAGTTCTAGGTGTGGTTGCTTGTTTGAAGAATTGGCTGGTGGTCCAGGGGTCCTATGATTCAACAGTGGTAGGGAACTATTTCATTGCCATCTTTCATGTTTTGCTAAGAAAAGGCAGTACAATTTTTATAGGCTCAGTGTCTTGTCTGTTTGACAAGTCTCCAAGGCCAGCTAGCTAAAGGTAACATCTAATTTGAGGGACCATCCTGATCATCAGATGTGTATAAAGAGACTTTTATTAGGATGTTCTTTTCTTTTTGTCAGTTGTGGGGCTTGAACTCTGGGCCTGAGCCCTGTCCCTGAGCTCTTCAGCTGAAGGCTAACACCCTACCACTTGAGCCACAGCACCACTTCCGGTTTTCTGAGCGGTTTATTGGTGATAAGAGTCTCATGGACTTTCCTGCCCTGGGTGGCTTTGAACTGTGATCCTCAGATCTCAGCCTCCCAAGTTGCATGAACCATCAGCCTGGCTATTAGGCTGTTTTTTAAGACCTATATTTCCTCCCTGGATTAAAGCAAGGGAGGAATTCCAGCCATCTATTTCTATAACAGTGCAACTTCCCTGATGACTGAAATAGAATTAGGTCCCAAATCTTCACCCTGTGTAGAGTTTCACAGCTTCTCACAATGACTGACGGTAGTGTTAATGCACATACTTAAATCTGAGTCTCAAGAATTTTCTTTGACCTTGAGTAAGATGATTATGGAGCGCTAGTTGCCCAATTCTTCTTGATATCAATCTTGGCCTGATCTGAATAAATGCAGGCTTGCCAAGTGACCTTAGAAAAGAGAGCAGATTCCTGCCTCCTCTCCTCTGGACTTTTCTGATACCCTTCAATCCTTCCAATTTGAACATCTTTCTGGTGTATAAAGCAAGCCAAGTGGTTTCCAGTTACTGTATAGTGAATGTTAAAAAAAAAACCCAAGTTCTGGTCTTGACTTTGATGTTGAATTACCGAATGATGTCAGGCATCCCTTACTCTGGTGTGTGAATTAGGTTCCACTAGATAAGAACAAATACATTAGGTTGAGTTTATATATCTGTCTGCTTGGGTTATCCTAGCAATACATCACAGACTTGATTGGTTATATGACAGGAATTTATTTTCCATGAATTTATTTTTCCATCCTGGAGGATGGAAGCCTAAGATCCAAGAATCAGCAGGGTTGGTTTTCTTTCTTTTCCCTTTGCTTACTGGTTAGGTAGCTTTCTTGTTTCTTCTCAGGGTGTGCTCTTAATGGACATGTATTCTTGTTGTCTCTCTATATTCAAATTAACTCTTATAAGGACACCAGTCACGTTGGGTTAGGGTTTGCCATATGGCTTCATCTACAGTTAAAACTTCTTTGAAATCCTTGCCTCAAAATATTATCATAATTATGAGCTATTGTTAGTTACAGCTTCACTACTAATTATAGGGAACATACTAATTCTAGAGAACATACAATTTGACTCATAACAGAATACACAGATCATTTGTCTAAGGAGCTATAGGCTTTTTGTCTTTCTTCAGACTTGCTCACAAGCAACCTGATTTAAGGATTCAGTGCAAGTAGTTTGTCTTGGGACATGCAGAGAAAAGTGGTGGAATAAGAATGAGCGGAAGAGAAGGGAAAGTAGCCAATTAAAGTTAGTTATGCAGTCAACTCTGAGTAGGGTGGCTGGAGGATAATAATGAAGAGAAAACATTGGGGAAACAATATGTGTTTCAAAGTTAGTCCACCAAAGTAGTGAAGGAAATTGAGGTATTTATACACCAACTCCAATCAATCATTGACTGAAAATTACTCCAGGAAATAGCGCTTTCTCAGGAGGATGGTAACCACCAACAGCATCTATCATACTATTCCTTCTCTGAATTCTGTGAAAGGTGAACAGGTGTTTGCACACACCAGGGAAGGGACTAGAGACCAAGCTAACAAATGTTATATGTCACTGACTGAAAATTATTTGCCTGTATTTTTCAGGGATGGCACCCAAAAATATATATTGGCTCATACTTAAGAGTATTCTTGCTCATGTGAAGTTCAAAACATTGTTATAGAGCAGCTGTTATCTAACTACAGATCAAAGACTCAGACCACTACTATCTTATAACTGCCTCACCCCTTAGGGTCTCAGAACCTTTGTCTCCAGCTGTATGTGGGAATAAGCAATGTAGAGAAGACACAGCCTTCTCCTCACTCCCCTGTCTGGAGGTACATACCAGATGCTGGCTCTATTCCATTGCCATAACTGATCTCAGGAGTCCAATTAAATGCTGGAGGGAAGAGTGGGACACTGCTGGCTGGGCAGTATCTTCCTTCAGTCTCCACTGAGAGTACTGAAAATAGAAAGTTTGAGTGATCAGGATGCACTTTGGCCTCTCCCAGGTTCTTATTTCCAACCACCATTCTTTCTCTGAATAGCTCCACCCAGCCAGCAATAAGGGTCAATCTTGACAACCTGCAGGATCCAGGGGAGATAAGAAGAAATACTTAGATGAGGACTTTAATACGGTTGAGGTGGAGGACATCCCTGAAGAAAGAGGCTATACTAGGTCTCCACAGGCCAATCAAGTGTGTGCTTGGCACCCTCACAATGTTGTGATGTCAAAACCACTTGCCATCATCACAGAGAGGTTATGTGTATGGGCTGTAAGGCCACACAGGGTTTTCCTAGTCCTCAGTGTTTCCTGTGGTGGAATACACCGTACTGGGCTAGCTCTTCAAGTACACTGAGCTTCAGGAAGCACTGGGATGGTCTATAGGATTATTCAGAGCACATTGTCATGTTCACAAAACTCAGAGCACAGGGTTGACCACGCTGTAAGCAGAAATAGTTGGTAAATGAATGTACATATAAAGACAGAAAATACAAAATAAATAAAAATTACCACCAAGACATAGCCATTATAATGCTAATTAGATATAGTCCACCCAGAATTTTATGCAAATAAAGATACATTGTTAATAAAAATGAGTTGTATTATTATAGGGGACTATTTAAGATCTTCATTTTACCAAATTATAATTTATATAAATATATCATTTTAAGTGTATTGATCACTGGTCTCTAGAGTACTAAAAAGACACTAAAAAGAAATCACCATGTTCTAATTATAAAACATTTTGAAACATTCCTTTTGGCAATCCTTCTCTCATTTCTTCTATCTCCTACTCCTGGTAACTACAAATGTAATTTTTGTTCCTATGCATTTGCCTATTCTGGAAATTTCATATAATTGGAATCATACAATCTGTGGCCTTGATACATGGCTTATTTTATTTAGCATGTTTTTGTTACAAATTTTGTGATATGTTATTTTCATGGCTGAATATTATTCCATAGTGTAGATATACAACCTTTTACTTTTCCATTCAACAGTCAACGGACATTTGAACTATTTCTACTTTGGGCTATTATGAATAAGACTGTTATTTGTGTATTTGGATGATCCATGTCTTCAGTTCTCTTGGGTAACATACCCAGGACTAGAATTGTTGAGCTAGATGTGAAGTCTGTTTAGCTTTTTACTGTCTCCCAAAGCCACCACCACAGGTTCATCTCTTGTGTTTTCCCCTTCCTCAGTAGATGATGTATGTATTTCCAGTCAGTAGAGATGCTCTGGGGTGCGTGTAGAGTATTTACTTATCTAGCTGTGCCAGTGTATATAAATAATTCTTTATTGTAAGATATTTAATGATCCTATGAAGGAGGATTTCAGCCTCTTATTATGTCCCAATACAGTTTGAAAACCAGTTTCTCAGGTACACTGTGACCCCCAAACTTGGTGCTTTGACAAGCTTTGCAACACTCCCCCATCTGTCTTGTCTATTGCACAAGAGCTTTGAGAAAAGCGACCCTGTCTTGAATTTATCCTTGTATTCCAACTCCTAGTAAGAGCCAGGCATTTTGGTAAACATTTTACAAATGAATTGATAAATGGGTGCCTGATTAGAATCCAGAATTTTGGAGAGAGAGTAAATTTACTGTAAGAGCATAATATCTCCAGACCCTTGCTCTGAAAGGTTAACATCTTCCGTGACCAGGGTTAAAGAGGCAGGAGGCGGAGTTGCTTGGCAGGAATATTTGCAAAGCTAATTTAAGCATTAGAAAGGGAGACCGAGGTGAAATTTGAGATTGCTCCTTAATGTGTGAGCTGGAAACTTTAGGTAATACCAGACAGGGGAGCTAAGAAAGGCATCCTCATCTCTCAGATAAGCTTGAGAACTACCAATTGCTTTAAAATGTTCCATGTTGTTATGAGGACCCCAGGTATAGCTTCACCCTGCCCCCAAACCATGTCTGCCTTCTGGGAGCTCACACTAAACACTGGGGTTAGAGTCGTTCAGGGAGAACCCTTCATATAAGAAGTTGTTGGACCAGTTTGTGGCCACTTGTAATCCAAGCTTAGAGTCCAACATGCTCAGATAAAACAGGGTAAAGTCTGGGTGGGTGTGGCTTGAAGATCCTATAAGAAAGCCTGCTTGCTCTTTGGAAAAGGGAGAGGTTTTCTGTCCCTTTCGATTGTGCAATTGGATTGGGTGGGCAGGATTCATGGGCAGGACTTCAGCACTGGTGCAGGAACAGCATATCCCCTTTGTTGTAAACCCAGATCTAAGACCTCACCAGCCCCCCAAACCTCTGCCCTTCAGTGATGTGGCTCTGTGTCCTTGTCCCGGTGTCTCTCATGGCTTGCACGGCTTGGGGTGAGTCCTTCTGAAATACAGATTGGAGAAGGGATTTCAAAATATTTGTCCTGGGTGGAAGCAGGTGAAGTGTGCAGGACAAAGGCATGACAGGTTCAGTTTTGTGCTGACTTTTGGAGTAACCCAGCCAGCCAGCCCCAGAACAGGCTATGCTGAGACCCACGGTGGATAAATCCAGCTGCATATGAGAGGCGCAGGAATGCAATGAGCTCACCTCAGGCCTTGTACGTGAGGAATTAAGAGATCATCATGCAAAACAGCTTACCAGAATATGAAAAGCACATCTGAGGGGCCACAATGTGGCTCAAAAATCCAGCTTAGCACTTCTAAGAGATATGTTTTCAGACAAGGTATTTAACTTTTCTGTACTAGTGTCACTCTGTTTTTAAAATAAGGATGGCAGCAGTATCTACTTTGTGAGCTGTTAGTGAAGATGTTATTTTTAGTAATTAGCAACAACAGGATAAAAACTTCTTATGTGTCTGTATTATAAAATTGGCTATTTTATTTTTCTCCAGCATTGGGGCTTGAACTGTGCTAGTGCTCATGCATAGTTTTCTTTTTTGGGGGGGGGGTCCAGTCATGGGGCCTGAACTCTGGGCCTGGGCGCTGTCCCTCAGCTCTTCAGCTCAAGGCTAGCGCTCTACCACTTGAGCCACAGCGCCACTTCCGGCTTTTTTCTTTTTGCTTATGTGGTACTAAGGAATTGAACCCAGGGCCTTAGGCAGGCAAGGCAAGCACTCTACCACTGAGCCACCTTCCCAGCCCCTCATGCACAGTTTTCTTGCTCACAGTTGATACCCTACTACTTGTACCACACCCCCAGTTTGGCATTTTTCTTGTTAATTTGAGATAGAGTCTCTTAGACATTTTGCCCAGGCTGACTGAATTGTAACCTCCAGGTCTCAGCCTCCTGAGTAGTAAGGATTACATATGGGAGCCACTTGAAATTAGTTATTGATGTGATATGTAAACTGGTTTACAAAACAGGGTTTTCAATGTCATGGATAATTCTTCTGTCATACTAAATCTCAAGTTTTCTTTTCAAGCCACACACTTGGAGGGAGATGTTGGCATGTTGTCTATATCCAAATGGAGAAAATGGGAAGGTGAGAGGGCGGGAACCCCGTCTTATGAGGTGACAGCTCAAGGCTAACGAAGCCAGATAAGAGAAGGGGGTCAAAGGTAGCCATGGGTATCCATGCAAGTCCACCTGCCTCAGGAAGGAGAATCAGATTGGTTCCCTTGGATCCTATGGCAGGTAGAACCAGGACAGGTAAGGAAGCTGTAGGAAGATGAACAACGAAATCTGTTCCTCAAGAAGGGAGCTAATGTGGCAGATTGATGTCTACTCAGTCTACTCACCTCTGGATGATCCTGCTCTTTTATATTATGTCCTGGAGCTTAGTTTTCCACTGAGTAAACCAGTCACTTAGCCTGCAGTTTGAGGCCTCCCTGCTATGGTACCTGTTCACCCAGGATTAACCTCCATTCCCCTTGGTCTCCACCTGGTGGGATACAGAGACCACTTGCACTTCCCACTTGCACTTCTGAGCATCTCTTATCTCTGCTACATCCTCTGCCCATCCATCTTCCCTTGTTCATCCCTTCCCCTGCTGCTAGTCCCAGCTCCTCAGAAGGTCACCTTCAACTCCAACTCCTATAACACCTTCCTGGCCCCTTTCCCAGAACATAACCTCTTTCAATACAGCCTGAGGTCAAGTAGGTCTCTGGCTCTGTTTCCTATCAGTTCTGCCCTCCTGAGAACAGGGGCTGCCTCCTGTTCTACCCCACACGCAGCTCAGTATCAGACCTAAATGGGTAAAGGTTGTAGAAGCTTCTCAGAAGGAAACCAAGTGACTTTTTGTTCCCAGCATGTCTCCTTTTTTTACAGTGACTTTTGATGTATTTTTCCTCTAATTCTAGTTTAGCCTTTCCATCAGCTCTCTCTTTTAGGAAATACACTTTTATGCATCCTGGATTTATGTAAGTAATAACTCTTGCCTAAATGACTGAAGTGACTTATTCAAGGTTTCGTGCCTAGAAAGTGGGAAACCCACTTGAAAACCAGGTCTACTTTTCCCCTCTGATGTGACCTTATCTCCTCCCTATGTTCCAGGGCACCCATCCTCACCACCTGTGGTGAACACCTTGCATGGCAAAGTCCTAGGGAAGTACGTCAGCTTACCGGGGTTTGCGCAGCCTGTGGCCGTCTTCCTGGGAGTCCCATTTGCCAAGCCCCCTCTTGGATCCTTGAGGTTTGCTCCACCGCAGCCTGCAGAGCCATGGAGCTTCGTGAAGAACACCACCTCCTACCCTCCTATGTAAGTGTGTGCAGCTCCCCTGGGCGTCTCAGTGGGGATGTTTGTCTGAGTGATGCAGTAAGGAGGGTCCTTGTAGCAATTCTCCAATTCACTATACTTTGTCCTTAAGCATATTCTAGAACCTGAAACATTTCAGAACTGTCACATCTCTGTATTTGTTATAGGACAGACATATTCTAGGTTCTGAGAATACATTAGCAAGCTTCAAACCAACTTTCCTATCTTTGTGGAGCTGATATTCAACCAGAGGGAGAGAGGCAATAAAAGCATACAAATCCATAAATGAATTACATAATATGTTAGGATATAGTAAGTACTTTGAAAAAGCAGTCCTCAGGGAAATGAGACACTCTGATGCTCTATCTTTTACCTTGTCTAGAACCTTGCCATGGCTGGGGAGAGGGACGTGTGAGAATATGTGTTGAAGAGAAGAATATGGGGATTGACTTTACAAGATCTCCCTTCGAGTTGTGTCTAGCTACTTGATCACAAATTGATGGTTTGCTGGTGTACCCCAGTCAGATTAGTCAGCTGGGTTTAAGAGCCCAATGTTTCCAGAATGTTTGGCAGCCACACTCAGAGCGCCTCAGGTACCTACAAGGTCAGCTCAGTCAATATTTGCCTCCTTAGTCAGGTGCTTCTGAGAATCCTCAGGATTTTGCTGTGGTTGCCTTCTTTCCGTTCCTTTCCTTGAAAATGTAATCATCTGGGTGCCAGTGGCTCATGCCTATAATCTTAGCTACTCAAGAGGCTGAGATCTGAGGATTGCAGTTCAATGCCAGGCAGGAAAGTCTGTGAGACTCTTATCTCCAATTAACCACACACACACACACACACACACACACACACACACACACACACACACACACACACACACACTTGGTAGAATACTAGTTTTAAGCAAAGAATCTCAGAGACAACAGCCTAGGCCCTGAGTACAAGCCCCAGCATCAGCATACAATAGGAACAATAAACGAAAACAACAAAAAAATTATCTGTTTCTATTTAAACTTTCTGACTTTAAGAAGTACACATACATTTTTGCATGTAAAAATGTAGAAAATACAGAACAGTAAAAGTAAGAAAATGAAAATCATCTACAGTTTACCTACTTAGATAAATTTTTTTTTTTACATTTGATAACTTGTTTTCCAGTCTTTTATCTCTTTGTATTTCTTTCTTTGAAAATGGACCATAAATATAGATAGTAAATGACTGCCTGGTTCACTTGTAACACTAACATCATTTTATATCATTAAATACCATGGCCAATTTTTAATAGCTGGTTTTGAACTGACATTTATTTACCCAAGCTCTTACTTGGGTCATGAAATTTTTATGTTCTAAATAACACTCTGATGAACATGTTGTTTATGAATATTTTGACTAAGACCCATAGAATGACACTGCTGTATATCCTTCCAGAAATGTTTTGCCTCTGTACATACACACCTCTGTGGAAGCAGGAAAAACCTCTATATAGCAGACCCTTGCCAAAGCATGAACTTATTGAAGTATTTTGTTGACCATCAGATAAATAAAAGTATCATGTAATAATCATAATCACAATAAGCATATGTTTTATGTTTCTTTTGAATTTATATAAATTTTAGTAAATTTAAATGTTTCCCTCTTTACTCCTTTTATGACTACTATACCCTGTGACCTTGGTGATCTAGGAAAAATTCCTCAGGGTAGAATCTGGGCATTACATGGCTGGCTCCACTGGACAGCTGTGTCTTTCTGGCTCCAGAGAGACTTTCCTCTTGTCTCTTTGGTGGGCAGTGAGGCCTGCGTGGAGTTAGAGCAATACAGAGCCTGGGTCTGGACATTAGACAGGGTCTCTAACTTCCTGGTGCCTAATGTATACAAAAGGAGTTTCCTCATGTATACAAAAGGACTGATCAGAACTTTAAATGAGTATTTACATAAATTATTGCCTGGTAAACTGAGAGAGTGCAGGAAACATGAACATTTCTCATCTATGTTGGACCTTGGAGACCTCTGCCCCACTCCCCAGTTCACCTGAGGGGGTATGAATAGTGACTTGTCCTGGAGATGACATTTCCTGTACACATGGGGCAACATATTTATCTGGCAAAGCCGCATGGCCACTCTTCAGCCCACAGTGCAAAGCGCAGTGAGGACAGGATCGAATCCCAGGACTGCAGGGAATGCCAGCTCCCAGGTGGGCCAGCATTGGAGTGACTCCTCACATTGTCCCAGGCATCCCAAGGCCCTGGAAAGGAGAGAGCTGCCAAGTCCTCCTTGCTCTGCATGATCTAGGAGACGCCTGAGAGTCTCCAAGCATGCCTACCAGGATTGCCAGGAACTCTTCTACCCATTTCAGTGTCTCAAGTCCCCTGATAGCAGTTGCACGGACAGCCTCAGCTTCCTAGCATATGTGCAGCCCCAGGTGTCACTTCCAGCTTCCACCTTGTAGCACCTCAAGTGTTTTATTGCTCTTTCCTCTTAGGTGTGCCCAGGACCCAGTGGCTGGGCAGATAGTTAATGACCACCTAACCAACAGAAAGGAGAAAATTCCTCTCATCTTTTCTGAAGATTGCCTGTACCTAAATATTTATACTCCTGCTGAATTGACAAAGACCAGTAGGCTGCCGGTAAGCATGGTGACTGCTGGTCAATACTTGCTACTTCCAGCACCCGGGATCTTCTAGAGCAGGCAGGAAGGGGATGGAGGCAGCTGAGGGTGGAGGCACCATGGCCAGGAATGATTTAGAGGCCAGAACTTCCTTTTACCACAGGAAGTACAAGTTTTCCTTTCTGTAGTTTTCCCCAGTGACGTCATCTGGGGGAGGGGATGTGATGCTGTTGTACACCCTAAACATTTTGAGTTCTCTCTCAGTAATAGGACTAGAATGTTGACTTTCAGAAGATTAAAGCTATCCCTAGAGCAGCTAAGACAGAATTTGCATCTTAGTTAGAGCTGGAAGGAATATGAGAGAAAACCAGCAATCCAATACTTTTCTCTGAAGATAAATTGATGGTCAAATGGGGTAAGAGAGGGCACACAAATGAGATGGCAGGATAAGGAAGACCTTAGGTGTTCTGATCCTCAAACCTGTGCTTTTTGACAGGGACTAGGAATATAAGGCATGCTCTGCCTTTCCACCTGCCCCACCTGTGACAATTTCCACTGCTACATAATGACAGTATTGAAAGGAGTCTGGGACAATCTCATAAGCATTTACCTTGTCATTTGTCAACAATCTGGGATATTATTGTAGTTCCTTTCTCTCTTAATTACCTTTGGTGCTAATTGGCTCAGCATTTCTCTATCAATGATGGACCAGAAGTGAGTCAGGCTACCAGCTATAGGCCAGAGGGTCGGGGGAGGGTTGCTGGAAAAGACAGTGGTCCCTGGGGGGTGGGAAGATGAGAGTGTCAGTTCCAAGCCAGTCTCCTAGAACATTCTGGTACAGAGGCCAGAAGAGGAGGAAGTTTTGAATTTGGGACTAGAAGTTGGTCCTACATGTGGTTTGTAAGACAAAAGGAATGGGAACAAGTATTTCCCTCTCTGCTTCCCTCCCTCCATCCCTTCCTCCTTTTTCTCTCCCTCCCTCCCACCCTCTATCCTGCCTTTATCACATATTATTTGTGGGATCTGTAGAGTTGCCTTAGTTTTCCCATCAGTCACAGAGGCAAACAGCAATACTCATCTTTTAGATTTATTATTTCTATTGCTTTGAATAATCCTTGCTCAGAGTTTGTGGTATAGATTCTTTTATGTTTTATTAACAATTTATTAAGCATTATTATTTTGTCCTTTCTTAGTTCTTCCTTGAAATGTGATCCTTTTAAATTCAAGAGCCATGAATTAGGCATTGTCGTACCCACTCTCAAGTCTCCTCAGTCCCTGGCACATAAGCTGTCAGATAATATTAGTCACCTGACCAAAGACTTCCTGGAAATGGTGGATGTCACTTGTGCTTGGAGGAGTGGGGAGGAAGCAGGGGGAGGAACCACCAGGGGCCATGTGTGCCTCTTAAATGATCACTTATCAATGAGAAAGCTTATTTCTCCAACAAAGAGTTAACAGAGATGAGGTTCAGCTATGAGTTCCAGGAAAGAGAATGATGGGAGCGATGGGGAAAACATGACCTTTTTTGCCTTTTGTTCCTCCAGTGATGATGTCCTCCATCTGTAAAGCTCTAAGAGGGTATGGTCCATTGGTCTGGGGAAAGGAGGGGAATGTGGAGTGGAATGACATCTAGGGTCCAGCTGGGAGAGTTGGGAGCAGAGATCTCCTTTCTCAACCCGATTAGACATACTGGTGAACTTTATGAATGATAGTCTCCCTTAGTAAGGTTTTGGGCAAAGCAACTCAATCTGACAAGTTCTGAGGTCCCTCCCAATTCAGCTTTCTCTTCTTTCTGTGCTGTCTCCTCCTGGCCCAGGTGATGGTGTGGATCCATGGAGGTGGACTGGTGGTGGGCGGGGCATCGACCTATGATGGACTGGCCCTCTCTGCCCATGAGAATGTGGTGGTGGTGACCATTCAGTATCGCCTGGGTATCTGGGGATTCTTCAGGTAAGGTATTGGGCTATTGTCTATACAAGAATCTCTATATTGGTCAGTTTTTTGCTGATATAATAAAGGAACTGATAGCAGGCAATTATAAGAAAAACAGATTTATTTATCTGAGATTTGCACCTGGCAAGGCCCTGGTGGCTGCTATACAATGTGCTGGAGGATGACAAATGGAAATTGCAGCACACAGGACACATCTCATGGTGAGACAGGAAGCCATGAGGTTAGAGAGGTCAACTGCAGTTTATACTTCCTTCCTATTGGGAAGTAGCCAGGGTACCTTAAACCCTAACACTGCCAATTACCTCACCATTTGCAGATTCTATCACTGCTTAATACACTAGAGACCAAGGTTCCAGTGTATAAATCATGAACCTTAGCATAGTATAAATCTAAACCTTAGCATCTCTCAAATGAGATGTTAGGGCCCAGCTCTAGTGATGCTCTCTCTCATGGAGATCTTAGTAAACTCCTTCATAATGCATCTAGTTCCTTCATTATTGGACTCTCCCAACCTCCTCCTCCTGCAGCTAGTCTTGTCCACTTGCTTCTGAGCTTTTGCATGTACTGTCCCCTCTCCCTAGAATGTCTACTTCACCCGTGAAGCTCCTGTTCATCCTGAAAAGCCCAGCCCTCATGTTTCCTCCTCTGAAATATTTATCTCCTTTTCTTTAAACAAAACATCTGTGTAGTCCAGCATGCGGCATTCTGCTATAATGTCATGTACCATGCAGCACATCAATTGAAAGTTGTGCACCTTCTCATAGGAAAGAGAGGAAAGAAGGGAGGGAGGGAGGGAGGGGTTGTTCCATGCAGGAAGCTATGTGAGGGCTCATGCAGACAGATTTTCAGATGACAATGCCATCAGGCTGTTCTTCTAAGGTGACTATGACCTTGACTGATGCTCTGACCAATCTCATGACCTCACAGCTGAAAGCACACAGGCCCTCCAGCTTCATTGAAGTGCCTCCTCCTTCTGTCTCTGGTCACTTCCCTGCTGCTCCTTTGCATCTCTTTCCTGCCCCTCCTCCTCTTCCCCATCTTTAGGCCTCTGTGTCTCCTCCTTCTTCTCCACTAACACCCTGAGTGCTACCAGCAAGCACACTCACAGCTTCCAGTTGCAGCTTCCACCGCTCTTTTAAGAGTGTCGACTTTAACTACTTTCTGTTGTCTGCCCTGGATGTCTGCAGAATGCCTTTCACTGCACAGGAAGAACTGAGTCCAGAACCCTCTGTGCTTCTGCTAACAGCTCCATCCTGCTGATTTCTCAGGAAAGAGGCTTTGTAGGCCGACTGGTCTCTTGTTCTCAGAGCCCAATGACAAGCCAGAGAGCAAATCCTGTGGTTCCACTCTGAAAATATATTCCAAATTCAGCTACTTCCCATCTTCTCTTTCCATTACCAATCAAAGCCCTGTGTGTCCCGGATTAAGGCAATAACCACTCAGCCATAGCTCTTCTATTCTAATGCCCCACACTGTAGCTCCGTGAGCCCTCACTGAGCTGTGATGGCCTCTGCACTGGATCTCATGTTACACGTGTGACACAGAACGCCACAGGGCCCACAGCCCTGCTCTTCCTGCATTCACACAGCTGTCTACAGCCCTGGCCCTTTGCACCTACTGCTTCTCCTCACCTGAGCTCTGTTCTTAGGGTTTTTTACAAGATCCATGTGCTCATATTATTCATGCATCTACATAATGCCTCTACTCAATGGCCTTCCCTGTCATGAAATCTGGGTCCCTCTCCTGATCTTTCTTTATCTGTTTGTATTGCTCCACCAGCTGATATATGTATCTGTGTTTGTGATCTGCAGTGTGATCTGAGTGAAGCCAGATATTTTGCTCTTTTGCTGCCAGATACGCTCTAGCTTTTCCTTCCCTCCTTCCCTCTCTCAGTCCCTCCCTCCCTCCCTTCCTCCCTCCCTCCCTCTTTCAGTCCCACCCTCCCTCCCTCCCTTCCTTCCTTCCTTCCTTCTTGCTCTTTTTCTCTTTTTTTCTTCCTTTCTTCTTTCCTTCTTTCTTTCTCTCTCTTTCTTTTTTCTTTCCTTCTTTCTTTCTCTTGCTTTTCTTCCTTCCTTCCTCCCTCCCTCCCTCCCTCTCTCTCTTTCTATTTCTTTCTTTCTTTCTTCCTTTCTGTGCCAGTCCTAGGGCTTGAATTTAGGGCCTGGGTGCTATTCCTGAGATTATATCCCCTAAACTAGTGCTCTGCCACTTGAGCCACAGCGCCATTTCCTGCTTGTTTGGTGGTTAATTGGAGATATTTGTTTCATGGGACTGCCTAGACTGGCTTCAAATCATGATCTCATAGCTCAGGCCTCCTGAGTACCTAGGATTACAGGTGTGAGCCATCAGCACCTGGCTTTAGCTTTTCATAGACAACTGTTGATGCATAGTGATCTCAGCATGCAGATGCTGGAAGAATGAGAGCAGAGCCCTACACAGGTCAAGGATGCTAGAATGAGAGGCACTGGAGAGGCCTATGGGATGCAGAGCCCAGCCTTACTCTGGAAGGCTCACTGACAGCCTGCAGCACAGCTGTGGTCTGAGAATCCAGAATTATATTGTGACAGGTCCTGCCCTACCTTTCATCCTGAGAGCCCTGCTCTGACAGCTGTGTCCCACCTCACCTCATTTTCCTTAAGCACAGGGGATGAGCACAGCCGTGGGAACTGGGGTCACTTGGACCAGGTGGCTGCACTGCGTTGGGTCCAGGACAACATCGCCAACTTTGGAGGGAACCCAGGCTCTGTGACCATCTTTGGAGAGTCAGCGGGAGGTGAAAGTGTGTCTGTGCTTGTAAGTGTTCCTGACACAAAGTGCCACCCTGAGGCCTGTGGATGAGACCTGTTGGAAATCAACCAGTCTAACCAGACATTTGCCTTGAGCGATACAGAGGAGGTACCTGAGGGTACTGTGTAGGGTGCCTTAAGGGAAAAGGAAAGTGGCTTTTGTCGGTTAGTGATCTAGGGTTCACTCTGTCCCTGTGTACACAATGGTATAGACCTTTGATTTCAAGACCTTGATCCAGGGTTGACTGAAGATGATGGAGAGCCCAAGGCCCAAACTCAGAGCTCAGCTTTGTGTCCTCTGGCCATAAATATCACCAGCTCAGTCAGGGACAGTAACATTCCTCCTCTCCTCACTTGGTTGATTCCTGTCCCCCCCCACCGCCCTGCCTTTCATAACCATTTTAACATGAAGTCTCATCTTTTTGTATCTTGATTAGGTATAAATTACAAAAAGGAGAAGGTGAGGGCCTGAGCTGGATTGTCAATGTTTGGTTCTAATCTAGATCTACATATTGAGGGGACCTGAGCACTGAGATCAGTGACCCAATGGTCACTCAGTCTCTGGGACGGAGTGTAAGCTGGGCTGGGGGAAGCTAATGAGAAAAGGAATAAAACTGTGATGGGGAAGGTGGTAACAGATAACGTGTGGTACAGACATAAGAGGTGGAAGGAGTCTTTTGTGGAGATGGTGGCAGGGAGGTGACACTGAGGAAATCTATTGAGGGTACAGGTACCATCCAGCCACCTCAGAGCGGAGCAGAAGATTAGCCCTATTACTGAAGTTCTCAAACAAGCACTGATTTCACAGTTGATTTCTCAGGGGTCAATGTTTATAGTCTTCAAGCTGAGCAAAAAGAAAATATACAGGCAAACTTGATGAAAGAAAATATACACAATCCCACTATACAATGTAGTATTTAGACACTTTGACATGTATTTCTGTAGCATTACAATTTCATATCTGTCTATCATCTACCTACCTATATATCCATACATTCATTTTCTTTGTCACTCAGTCATCTATGTATGTTGTTTTTAAACAAAGAAGCTTTCTTAATGTGAAGTATAATAAAAATATTTCAGTAAACATTATTCTTACACAATGTCTTTCACAATTGCATAATATTCCATGGTAAGAATGAAATATTGCTTATTTTCCAGTCTTCTAATATTAGAAACTTGAGTTATTCTGATGTTTAATGTTATATATAGTGTAAGAAATTTGATTATCTTTATAAAACTCTGATTATTTTCCTCTTTTATTTTTTTGTGATGAATGTTTGTGGCTTACTCTCAAACACTACTGCTAAGCTATGTCTCTAGCTATTTTGTAAATGACAGTTTTCATGGTAATGGAAATGCTGAAACTAAATTTGTGGCTAGGAATTGCCAAGCTATCTTTTCCAACAGTTTTGGTTGTTGTGATGGGCCCAAACTTCCTATCTGTGTTTGGTTCTGGGATGTTGTTCCATATTTCTAATGGAGCAAGTTTTCTTGGAGAACTTGGGCCCAGGAGCTGTCACGTCCACAGAGTATCAGATTCCATGTAAATGCTCAGGGCAGAGTTATGAAGAACAACAGAGTCACTGACCCTTCCTATAAACATAAACTCTCCTCCTCTCCTCCCTACTGCCAGGTGTTATCTCCACTGGCCAAGAACCTCTTCCATAGGGCCATTTCTGAGAGTGGTGTGGCCCTGTCTCCTGGTCTGTTTGCGAAGAATGTCAGGTCATTAGCTGAGGTATGTCTTACCCTAGACAGCTTTGGTACCCCGTTCTTGGCAATTCTGAAACTCTCAAGGATCTTTCTTCTTGTGGGATCCAGCTAGGATGCTTAAGGAGTCCTTGAAGTGAGAGTGGGTGAGTAGGAAGACTCCAATAGGACTTACATTTAACCCTCATTCTGTATATTTTGAAGTGTCTTCATATAAGCTACGTTACTCAGGCTTCCTGCAATTCTGCACATTTCAGTCTGCGAGAGAGCACAATCCGTGTTAACTCTCCTACTAGGGTAGGTGCTATTATCACCCTCATCTTTAGGGGTGTAGAGAAGGAACAGAGGCCAAATCATTGGTAAGTGGAGGAGGTTAAACCTGACACTAACATTCAACATTCCTTGCTCTTTCCTGCTATTCCACGTGGCCTCTCATGTGACACAACACTTGGACAGTTTTGTGCCATTATAAAGTAACAGAAACACAGATATTAGGTAACCACCTCATGTCACGATTCCAACTAGTGACAGAGGCAGCCTTCTATGGGACCCAGATCCCACAGAGTGTTGTCAGCTATCCTCTACTACCTTCAAAAACTGAGTTTGGAAGAGAATCCCTCTGTCTCCATTGGAGGTAACAGACACTGCTGTTGACTTCTGCTGTTGCCTGTGATCTTGGCAGCAAGTTGCTGTTACTGCTGGATGCACTCTCACCACCTCTGCTCCTATGGTTCACTGCCTGCGCCAGAAGACAGAACAGGAGCTCTTGGAGACTACAATGAAATTGGTAGGCATGCCCTAACACCCTGTGTAGTTGATATTAGGCTTTTCCTCTTAGTGGTCTTCTAACACCAAATTCCTTGGGATAATTTCTTATCACTCAGTTGCAGTTTCTGTCTTCTGCTTCCAACTGGGATTTTTTTCTGTTTTTTTTTTTTTTGTTGTTGTTGTTGTTCTGTCCCTGGGACTTAAACTCAGGGTATGGGCACTGTCTCTGAGCTTTTTAGCTCAAGGTTAACACTCTACCACTTGAGCCACAGCTCTACTTCTGGCTTTTTGGTAGTTTATTGAGAACAGAGCCTCACAGAATTTCTTGCCTGGACTACAAGATCCTCAGATCTTGGCCTCATGAGTATCTAGGATTACAGGCATAAGCCACCAGGGCCCAAAATGTCCCCCTAGTTTTTTTATTGTGAGATATCTCAAGTATTGAAATGTCTAGAATCAATTGATGAAAAATTGAATAGCAGATATCTTGAAACTTCATATTTTGGGGCTGGGAAGGTGGCTTAATGGTAGAGCGCTTGCCTCACATGCATGAGACCCTGGGTTCAATTCCTCAGCACCACATAAGCAGAAAAAGCCAGAAGTGATGCTGTGGCTCAAGTAGTAGAGAGCTAGCCTTGAGCTGAAGAGCTGAGGGATAGTGCCCAGGCCCAGAGTTCAGGCCCCATGATTGACAAAAAATTCATATTTTGCCATTCTTGTTTTCAGATATAACTCAAGAAACTAAACATTCCATTTCCTCAGAATAACTACCATTCTGAATTTATAGAATGAAGATATCATGCACAAAGTTTATATTAAGAGTATTATCATTTATATTGACTTATTTAGAAACTAAGTTATAATAGTATAGTCACTTAATTTTCTAGATTTTCTGAAATTCTGCTTCAGTTAAAATTTAAGAATAGCTACGTCTGTTACCCATTTATGCATTTAACATCCATCTACCCATTCATTTATCCAATTCATGGAAATCGTTTCAAACTAGTATCAACCTAGTATCAATATTTCTATAACTTTTCAGTCAAACATTCCAATCTGCCCATCACTCATAAGTTATACAACAATAGTACATATTTTGAGCAACTTCATCCATCCATCCATCCATCCATCCATCCATCCATACATACATACATACATACATACATACATATGCACCAAGTATGTGAAGGAATTAGTGAAGCTCAGAAAATCTGATAAAGATCCTACGACATCCCTCTGAGATTTCTTCAGTTCTTGTGGAGTGTTTCCAGTCAGTATTTCAGCATCCACTGTGTTCAGCTACCCTCTTCTCACTTATATTTCTCACTTACATTTCTGTGGGCAAAGGCTGCTACAGAACTGTCCACTGTCAGGAGGCAGAAATCACCAGCTAAGGAGTTCAGAATCCTTCAATTAGGAGGAGAGATCTCCCAGGAGAGAGGGGGGGTGAGAAAAAGAGAAGAGAGGGGGGAGATAAAGAGAGGGGAGAGAGAGAGGAGCACACAAGTGAGCAAGCACAAAAGAACTCAGTTTGGAATCCTCCTTCCAGCATTTGAGAAAATTCCAGAAAGGGAGGATAATAGAAAAGTCTTGGATTGTAATTCAACATAGAATGGAAAGTATAAAGAGCACTTTGAACTGAGAGGTGACATGATGAGTTAACAAATGTCTTCAATGTGGAGATAGATTGTAAGATAGGATCAGGGAAGGGGCAGAGAGACAAGCTGGGAAGTCAATGGGCAGAAGAAAAATAGGCAAAGGATCCTGGAAAGTTACACCAGCATCAGAGTAATGGGTGAAAAGTGTTTGAAATTTGGAAATTTTGGTTGTTGTTCTTGAGTGTAGGGCTTGAACTCAGGGCCTGGGTGCTGTCCCTGAGCAATTTTGTCAAGGCTAGTGTTCTACCACTTTGAGCCATAGCACCACTTCCAGTTTTCTAGTGGTTAATTGAAGATGAGTCTCATAGACTTTCCTCCTCTGGCTGGCTTTGAACCGTGATTCTCAGATCTCAGCCTCCTGAGTAGCTACGATGACAAGTGTGAGCCACTGGAGCCCATAAAATCTGGATATATTTAAGGAATAGCTGACAAGACTTACTGAGGAGGTAAGTGAGGTATGAGATAAAGAGAAGCAGGAAGGATCCCTTCAGCACCTACTCTATGGACAGTGGCAATCATAGTGGTTCTCATGGTTACTCCTGTGATGTTGGCGCCTCACAGTCCTCACTGTTTCCTGATTTATTGTCCTCTCCCTCATTTTATGTTCTCCATTCTGTGCTTTATAGCACTAAAAGATTTATACTGATAAATATAACATAGAACATGTCACTCCTTTCTTAAAAGCCTGATGCTGCTTATAAGACAAATTGCCTAACGTTCTCTGTAAGTCAACTTTCTATTCCTGTTAATAAATCCCCAAGACAATCAGCTTAAATCAACTTAAAAATAAAGAGAAGAAGGTTATTTTCATTAACAGTTTGGGTGTTTTCTTTCCATGATCATGTGACCTTCCTATCTTGTTCCAGTAATGGCACATCATTGAGGAGTTTGTGTAGGAGCAAAACTGCTCACCTCATTGTGGGGGAAAGAGAGAAAGAGAAGCAGGACCACTATATATTCTGAAGACATTCACCCATATGCCTGAAGGTCTAACAAGCCAGAGACCTATGTGCTGGCCTCATGCTTAGACCAGCAGAGACAGAGAGAGGGAGTTGGTGTGGGGGTGGGGAGAGAGATACAGATATTACCTGGAACCACATGTATCATGTTATTCTCTTCCCCAGGGCCACTTCTTTGTTCCTGTTGTGGTTGATGGAGTTCTGATTCCAAAGGCACCTGAAGAGATTCTGGCTGAAAAGAATTTTAACACCGTCCCTTACATTGTTGGAATCAACAAGCAAGAGTTTGGGTGGATTTTGCCCACGGTGAGACTGTACAGAGCTCTTTGGCAGATGCACCCCCAACACACTATCCTCAGACCTGAGCTCCCATGAGTCCTTTCCTTTCAATGCCCTCTGCATCATGGAAGATGTCAAAAATGGACATTTTTGAGGAAGCAGCCTCCTGGATGGACAGCCTCCCATGAGTGGGGTAGCTCTGGGAACGCTTCTCTGCATATTTCTTTTCTATTTCTGCTACAGAATCCTGAAATGTCCAGGCTGGTAAAGCCAGGAGAGATGCGAAAAACTGAGGTGGGAAAATGTTAGAACATCTAGGAAGGGGAAGGAACTGGGAGTTCGGAAAAGTCAGGCTAGGGGCGCAACAGCCCTGGGCACTGGTAGCTTCCTCATGGTAAAGCTTCAGAGAAGGCACTTCTATATGAATTAATGGGTTTGTAAAAGGTAAAGACTTTTCATCTTCAGTGAAAAAGCCAGACACTAGTTAAAGCAGCAGGACAGGTCAGTACAATAGTAGAAAGGAAAAAAAATCTGAGATGACCTGAACTCAAATCTCCAACACAAAGTCTGGAGTTATATCCAAGCAGGTGTGAGTTCCAGGAGGCATGTGTTAGGAGGAGAGAGGCCATGCCATGCTGCAGACCTTCTTCTCAACAGGAAATACCATTTCGTGGTAAAGTAAGGTCTTCACTAAAATTAGGACTTTAGTCTTCCTTTACGTCTGGAAGTGAGATCAAGAGTTAATTGCCCCCAAATGTTTACATTTCAAAGAAGTTACAAATTCTTTTTTTTAAATTTGCTTTCAGGTCCTTGAGGAAAAATTTTTTGGCTGAGAAAGAGTCAATAATTGCAAGACATTTCCAAGGTTACAGCTCCAAAGAGCAGGCTCAGAGGCCATTCCACCCACTACAGGGTTTTAGCTGGAGGAAAACAGTGATTTCACCTGAAAGCATGGAACTTTCTCGATAGGCTTGGTAGAGAACTGGATCACCCTTAAATAGGTTGAACTGTGTTGTATTTGGGTCAGGTCTCTGAACCAGAGGTTTGAACAGGGTCCCTATGTACTGGGAGTTTGGCAACTCTCATTTCAGAAGGATTTCAATGGGTAGCAAAGAAATACAGCTTTGTGACTGAGTTTAGCTTCACTGTTCAACTGAGTCTGGCAGTATGGCCTATTTCCTCAATACTTGAGCCATCAGTTTCTACACTGTATTTAGACTTGAATATTCCTGAATTTTTCCTCACTGTCTGATCAGTACATATGTTTACCTCTAGTTTGTGATGTTAAGTGAAATGAACCACTAGATCAAGACACAAGTGTTTAAGTGTTTTTTCCTTTCTTGTTATTTTTTTAACGTATTTAAAATGTACTGTGTGATTTTTTAAAATTTCTCTTGTATATTCTTCCCCCACGGTATAACCCCTGTTTTCACTGTATTTGATGTCAGTGCCCTGCATCTTGTATATACATTTTTCTAATTTGGGGAGGGGAAGGGAAATAACAAAATGCTGAAATAAGGGGAAAAAAATTCCTGCTTGCTTTTCTCTAATTCCTGAGGATTTACAAATGCCTAACTATTGTTTAAACAGTCGAAAGGCTTTCCACTTTCTGAAGTACAATTCAACCAGAATTTGGCCACCTCACTCCTGCAGAAGTCTAAGCACATGATGGTAAGCATCTGTGTAATCATGGGAGTTGGTTGAGAAACAGTGTAGGTCTAGAGGCTTCAGTGGTGGACATAGGGCTGGGACCAGGGTTCTGTCTACATTTTCTGTATTTCCCGCTTCTCCACTCCAGAAGGGATTTGCATAGGGTTCAAGATATTCGTGATCAATGAAAAACTGTCTCAACTGCCTGGAGAAGCCACATTGTTCACCAGGTGGGGGTGGTTTCTTTCTTCATCCATTGCAGAGCTTATCTGAGAAACTAATTCCAGTGATCATTGAGAAGTATTTAGAAGGGACAGATGACCCAACCCAAACTAGAGATCGGTTCCTGGACTTGCTTGCAGATATGGTATTTGGTGTTCCATCTGTGATTGTGTCCCGTGGCCACAGAGGTGAGTCCTAGAGACATATAAGAAAGGGATAATGGCTCAGAAACACAGTTTCTGATCTGCCCACCTCCTAGCAGAGGAATATGTGGAGTTGTGGAGGGCCAGGCCTCAAACTCTGCTTTCATACTTCCTGGTAGAATGTTGTCCTATTTTGGTGTCTGCTAGTAGAAGACTGAATAAAGGATTGAAATACAAATAGTCGGGGCTGGGGAGGTGGCTCAGTGGTAGAGTGCTTGCCTTGCATGCCTGAGGCCCTGGGTTCGATTCCTCAGCACCACATAAGCAAAAAGAAAAAAGCCGGAAGTGGCGCTGTGGCTCAAGTGGTAGAGTGCTCGCCTTGAGCTGAAGAGCTGAGGGACAGTGCCCAGGCCCAGAGTTCAGGCCCCATGACCGGACCCAAAAAAAAAAAAAAAAGAAATACAAATAGTCAGTTTAGGAGGTGATCCAATAAAACAGCACTGAAGTGAGAAGGAGGTGACACAGGGAAGTGATATAGGCCAATCAATGATGCACTTCCAAGTATGTTTCTACTGTGGATGATGAAGCTGAGGAGCTCTGGGAAACAAGACTTCTCAGTGTTCTTCTGTTTGGACAGAAAATGAGATGTGTATTTATCCACTTGTGTCTACATGTCATTGGTTGAAGGCTGTTGTGAGGGACTGTTAGTTCTTTGGTCCATGTTGTGTACATGGGAGGTATGGTTTGTGGTGAGAAGACAAAGCCTTTATGCAAAGAGCTATTAAAGTTGAAAGTGGAAATCAGGCAGATCTGTCTGATATGATTGGCATACTAACAACATCAACCAAGGGCTTCTTATATGAGGTTAATGGTGTACATTGGACTAGAAGACAAACGTGATAGAGCTCATAGAAGATTCTTAAAGCTAGAGCTAGCCACCAGCTAGGTGGTTACATAATAGAGTCATAGAAAGTCAGAATAGGACCAGGAGATTTGTCTTGGGCCAAGAAGGCCCAAAGGAGGGGTGGTAGTAGGTGTGGGGACAGGGAGTATGTCAATGTCTGTGGCTCAATCATGTCTTCCATGGTGTGGAATAGTATAGACAAGCTGAAGGGCAGGCTGGTGTTTATCACAGGTTCTTCCAACATCTACCCAAGGCTCTATGTGGAGTTTGAAGAGAGAAGGATTCATGAGCTTACCTTGGAGGAGGTGACTCCTTCTGCTTGTCATTTAGACAGTCAAGGGACCTTCCCCTATCTACCAGCTCTGATGCACCTTAGTCTGAGAGTCAGTGAATGGTGCTCTGGTCCAGACAATTGTCTCAATGTGCTGGAAGAGTTATCAAGTTTAGGATACTATAAACATGGATAGTTTAGGACAGTATCAAGCTTAGGACAGTATAAATGCCATGTACTATCTCACTTTTTTTTCAAATTTTTTATTGTGATTAAGTGGTTACATAATTTCCCAAATTTCACAGTATTGTGGGATAGTGATGCTCAGTTAGAGTCACAAACATATTCTAACTTTCCCTATTTTACTTTGCGAAGTTGCTTATGAGCATCTGTAGGTTAGAACAAGGAGAAGGGTGAGTACATTACAATAAAGAATTGAGAGAGAAAGAGAACACACAAAACTTTCAAAATTGTAAATTGACATGTTTTATACATACATATGTATGGGATATATAGTGACATTACAGACTATGAATATGATACAGAATAATTATGTCAAACAAGTCAACATATACATCCCCCTCAAATATTTAACATAAATAATATGAAATTCTCAGCAATTTTCAAATGAACAATACTTTATGAAGTGTATTCACTATACTATTCAATAGAAATAAAAAGAAAAATGTTTTCTTCCTTTTACTATCACCTTCCCTTTGTTCTCCCCATCAACCTCTGAAACTACTAATTTACTGTATGCTTTGATGAGTTTTATTAGTTTGGATTCATTACCTAGGGAGTAGCATGGTCTTTTCTGCATAGTAGCATGGTATTTTCTATCTATACCTGGCTTATCTTATTTAGCATAATGTTTTTAATTTCCATGCATGTTGACATAAATGACAGAATTTTTCCTTTAAATAAAAGACAAATGGCATTTATTGTGTGTTCATAACATGTTTTCTTTATGTATTCTTCCATTGGTAGACACAGGATGATTTCAGAGTGTGGCTTTTGTAAGTAGTGGTGCAATGCAATACACATTGGGGGTGCGGGCATTAGTTCCACAGACTGGTCTCAGATAAATGTTCAAGAGTGGGACTGTTGGATCACATGGTAATTGTTTTTTTACTTATTTAAAACACTGTCCTGTTTTCTATTCATACCATCAATATTTTTCAAAAAGGTTTTATCTCCTCATCCTTGCCATAAGAATCCTAATCCTTGACTTATCCTAATTTCATAGAAAAGACTAAATCATTTTTTACCTCTGAATGTAATGTCATCTGTCACCTTCTTATATGTTACCTTTACTGTGTCAAGATACATTCACCTGGTGAAATTATTTTAATTCAGTGTTTGCTTCTGAATTTTCTAACTGGGATGATTTGTCTATCGTTGAGAGTGGGGTATTGAAGCCTTTTCTATTATTACATTGTAATCTATCTTTCCCTTCAGATCCTTTAATTTTTGTTTTACACATTTAGGTTATCTGATTCTTAGATGCACATATATTCACAATTGTTATATCCTTCTTATGAACTGACCTCTTCATCATCTCTCAACTTGTAATGTCTTTGTTTCTTTTTCCAGGTTTTTAAAATTAATGTCTTTGTTTAATATAATTATAGCTAACTGAAGCTAACTGCTTTCCTATCCTTTGTCTTTTTTTTCCTTCTTTTTTTTGGCAGTCTTTCTATGCATCTCACACTAGCTGTAACCTTGCTGTATATCTCAGACTGTCCTTGAACTCATAATCTTCGTATCTTAGGCTCTTGAGTGCTAAGATAACAGGTGTGAACCACTGCATTTAGCTTCTTCCCTTGTTCCCAAAAAACAATTTTCCACAATACAGAATTCCTGAGATACAGTGTTCCATCTCTGCATGCATTTGTAGTAAAATATACTCATTTTCAGGAAAGCAGCTTGGATTTATTTCACTCCTTTCTTAATTTGTGAGAAAAACACCATAAATGGTCAAAACTAGGCTGAACAGAAGACAACTGTTAGCTTGTAAAGCTTCTTGAAAAGAATTAGCACCATCCAGTATTGGATACATTGGATACATTTTGCACACTTGTCCTTTTATTCCATAAATATATGGATTAAATCCCACTTCTGCACCCACTAGTTATACAGTATAAGGAAATCATGGAGCTGTCACCTGTCCCGTGCAGATAACCATGGGTTTCCTACAGGGCTGCAAACCTTAATGTCAGGTGCATGTCTGGTAAACATAAACTGCACAAACCCATGTTTTCTCAGATGCTGGAGCTCCCACCTACATGTACGAGTTTCAATATCGTCCAAGCTTCTCACCAGACATGAAACCCATGACAGTGATAGGAGACCATGGGGATGAGGTCTACTCTGTGTTTGGTGCACCAATTCTAAGAGGTAATGGCTGTTTGCTGGAGATACACTTGGAAATAAAAGGCCTGCGTTCCAGACTTTCTTTAGTCTTGAACAATCTTCTCTTCTTTCAGTCTTAATTTCTTCCCTTGGTGTAATTGAGGTGAACGACATTGGGTGTTACCAACCTCGTCTTCTACTATAGCTCTCCCCAAAGAGGGTGTTTGTTCATGTATTCCCCGCTGTAGTCACTTTCAGGATCCTGACTTCTAACACCAGTAAGAGTTGGCTCAACTGTAGCACCCTGCTCAAAGACAGGAATGCCACTGCTTGATCTCTCACTCAAAATAAAATATCAGACTGTTAGTGATGATAAAGCCAGAAATGGCACTAACATTGGCTCAGATAGCATATGTATCTGCCTTTAAACCTGAATATCATAACTGAAGTTCCTATATTTTGACCAGTGGTATAATTAATAAATGTAACATTTAAGAAAAATTTTCATGAACGTTTTAATACTTTATCTCAGCAGTTGCAAAAATTGACTCAAGATACATGGGATGCTCATGACATGCCAGTGTCTCTGGGCATCAGTTTGGTGACTTCTTAGGACCTAAGCAGGCTTTTCTTTTTCCTTTCTTTTCTTTTCCTTTCCTTTCTTTCTTTTCCTTTTATCCATACTGAGACTTGAACTCAGGGCAAAGCAGTCTGCCACTTTACCCACACTCCCTAGCACTGTTTGCTTTAGTTATTTTTTCTTAGATAAGTTTTGGCCTTTGTGTCTGGGCTGGACTTGGATTGTGATCTTCCTACTTATGGTTCCTGCAAAGCTGGGATGACAGGCCTGTTTCATCCTGCCTGGTAGACCTTTGCAGTTCTAATGCTTTTTTGACTCTATGAATATGTGAGTGTGTTTAAGAGAAAAGAAAATGTAGGTATGCTTAAGAAAAAGGAGTCAGCAATCCGGCAAAGCAGAAGGAACCTTAGGTTGTGGCACTTCTGCCTTGATGGGAGATGGGTGGATAGGTGTGCATGAAAGACAAAGGGAAGTTGAAGGGCCTATGTGCCCATTACTGAATCCTAGATCAGCCCTTCCCAACTCACCATTCATATTTTGACTTGGTACGTGTGCAGTCAGGGCCAAAAACTGCCTAACAACCTCCTAGTGATGCTGATGTGGCAGCCTATGAACCACATTTTGTATGCCACAGGGTTATTTTCATCTTCCCTACAGAGGGTGCCTCAGAAGAGGAAATCAACCTCAGCAAGATGGTGATGAAATTCTGGGCCAATTTTGCTCGGACTGGGTGAGGTTCATGGAAAAGATGGAATAAGGGTAGTGTGTAAGGTGGGGTGCTGCGGAGATAATTATTTGGGAGAGGTGACTTCTAATGTTTGAGTAATAAACTCCTACCTCTGTGAACAGTGATGGGCCAATGATTGCACTCCATATCTGAGTGTTCACAAGTCTCATGGATCAGTGATAAGCTAGAGAATTCTCACAAATCTCAGAGGAATGTGAGACTGCACAGCAACTGTGTTCACTTGATTCTGTTTCAGAAATCCCAATGGGGAGGGACTGCCCCATTGGCCAGAGTATGACCAAAAGGAAGCATATCTAGAGATTGGTACCACCATCCAGGCAGCCTATTGGCTGAAAGACAAGGAAGTAGCTTTCTGGACTGAACTCCTGACCAATAAGCAACTACAACCAGAGCACACCGAACTGTGAACAATCGATCTGGGGAAAGCCAAAGAGCCAACACATGCATATTCTACAGAAGGTGTTTGTAGGCCAAGGAGGCATTTTATTGTGAAGACTGGAGAGTTGTGTGGTAAGGATGGACAGAGGCTTTTGCTGGGGCTGGAGAAGGGGTATTATTTGTTTCAGTGGCCTCAATTTATTAAATAAATGATTTTTGTGGAAACAAATGAATGTATGTCTCTTGGGCTATATGTCTACAGCAACAGATCCTTGCAGAGAAGTAAGTTATTTGGGCTGCCATGTAGCATCCTATGCACCATAACACATGAATTGCAGCCAAGGACACCACAGGGAAAGTCCATTTGAAATGAAATTCACCATTGTCCATCAAACCAAATCTCAGAACATATCATCAAGAGTAGACTCCATCCTAAATCATTTCACATACAGTGGCAGAGATTTCCATTGACACAAATGCCTCCCAACATAGAAATAATGTACAAATCGTTATGTCGAAAAACGAAAAACGAACTTTACAACTTTGGCGGGGGAGGGGATGAGGGGGAAGGGGGAAGATGGGAAGGGATGGGAAGGGGAAACAAAGGAGGAGGCAAGAATGCTTGATAAGAAATGCACTCATTTCCTTGCCCATGTAATTGTAACCCCTCTGAACAGTATTTTCACAATAAAAAAAAAGAAATAGTAGAACTATAAGGGCAGAAAAACAAGTGAAATGACTCCTCCATAAGTTAATAACGCTGTGGTAGTAGATTCTAAAGATTTTATAGTAGATGAAATGCTGGACAAAAATTTAAGAGAATGTTTTTTTCAATGACCAATGAATTCAAAGATAATGCAAATAAACATAATGAATCAAGAAAGACAATGAAGGATTTGAAAGAGCAATTCTATAACTAGACAGAGATTCTGAAGAAGAACAAAACAGAAATTTTGGAATAAAATTTTTAAAAGTAAACAAGTAAAAAGATGAAAAGAATCCTCACACTATATTAGGGCTTGAAGACAAGATAGACAAATTATTACATTTAGACAGTAACAGAGAAAAAGAATAAGAAGAATGAATCAACGAACAAACAAAATCTCTGAGACACCACAAAGACCAAACATGTATAGTTGGAATAGATGAGTGACTTTAAGTATACTTTAAAACATAGGAAACCAATTTAGTTAAATAATAGGAGGGAAAAAACCCAAATTTTGGAATCCAAGTAAAATGACCTTTAGATTCTCAAATAGAAATGCTCAAAGAACCTCACCATCACATATAATAATTAACCTTCCAGAAATACAAAACAAAGGAAAACCAGAGTGCATTAAAGCATGACTGAGCAGTGGAGAGATGTGGTTGAACCATTCTCTGTTCAGGGATATGGTGCTTGCAGGACTGTGTTGTTAATAAAGTGGGATAGAGTAGGAAATGTCTATGGGGATTGAAGGGGATGTCTTCTCTTCCTGTCCATCTACCTCAGCCTTAGCTTTATGTCTTCCATATCCCTGGCCACCATTTTTTATATTTTATTTTATTGTAAGGGGTGATATTGAGGGGTTACAGTTATATAAGTAAGGTAATAAATATATTTCTTGTTTAACATTGTTACCCCATCCTTCATTTTCTCCCACTTTCCCTTCCCCCCAACTTCCCTCTCCCCCAAGTTGTAAAGTTCATTTCTAACATAGTGTCTTGTGAGTATCACTGTTGCATTGGTTCACCCTTTGTCCTTTGTTATTTCCCCTTCCCTTCTGCAATAGAACCATATATACAAGATAACCATATATACAAGACACAGGGTACCCAAATCAGAAATAGTGACACAGGGGATAAACAAAAGTAAAGTAAAAATGGGAAAGAAAAAAGAAATAACTTCACATAGTACATTTTAAAAAAAACAACAAATAAAACCTCTTGTTTCTATATGTTGGAGTTCATTTCAGTTAACATCATTATATATTGAGCTATTGTGATCCTCTGCTAGGACTATCTTAAACATATACTAATTATTACAAATGAGGGAAACCATGGGGCCCTTGTTTTGGGGGTCTGGCTTACTTCACTTAGTATGATTTTTTCCAAGTCTTTGCATTTCTTTACAAATGGGCTGATGTCATTCTTTCTGATGGAAGCATAGACTTCCATTACACACACACACACACACACACACACACATCACATCACATTTTCTTGATCCATTCATCTACTGAGGGGCATCTGGGTTGGTTCCCTGTGTTAGATATGGTAAATAAATGCTGCAATGAACATAGTTGTGCTGGTAACTTTAGTTTGGCCTTGTTTATGATCATTTGGGTAAATGCCCAGGAGTGGGATTGCTGGACCATGGGGGAGCATCATCTTTAGTCTTTTGAGGAACCTCCATACTGCTTTCCAGAGTGGTTGAACCAGTTTACGTTTCCACCAACAGTGTAGTACTGTTCCTTTTTGGCCACATCCCCACCAGCATCTGTTACTATTTGTTTTCTTGATAATGGCCATTCTAACTGGGGTGAAGTGGAATCTCAAGGTAGTTTTGATTTTATTTTACCTGGCCACCATTTTCATTTCATTTTCCTCCCCCTCCCTGAAGAAAACAGCCAAGGTGGCCATGGAGAACAAGTAGGTGAAAGGCAGAAAAGGAGAGAAGGGCAGGCAGAAGCAGATATCTTCTCCAGAACTTCTGAGACCCATTCTAGGTCCCAGTGCCTATCTTTCAATGGAGCTTTCTTCCTTTGTTCCTCTCATTCTGACACAGCTGAGGCAGAACAGGCAAGGAGAACCTGGTATGTATCCAACTCCCAGGATTAGCTTTATCCCAAGATGGCTGCTCACAACAGTCCCAGTTTTTGTCTTGATTTACTTGGAGACTCAGAGAGGTGAGAACCTTTGCTTTCTTGATTACACGTTTTGAGTCTTATCAGATTTAAGCTCTAAGTAACTATGAATGAAAGAATTGTTTGTGGAATCATAATCACTCCTTGTGTGCATATTACTGAGGGGAAGCAGTTTTTCAGTTAACACAGCTAGGAACCAGAGGCAGGATTGGAACCAACTCTCAACTCCAGTTCAATACTCCAATTAAACAAATCTTTGTCCCTTAGTCTTGGGTTCCTATGTCTGTTACATTTCCTGGTCCCCAAACTGCATCTGTGGAAGGAGGCTGCAATAAGACCTGCTACTCTCGGGAATAAAAAAAAAATCACTGGTAAGGAGTTTCAGGACTCCTCACTGAAGAGAAAAATCTCCCAGGGAGGACAGAGGGCTGGGCACCTGTGTAGAGAGAAAGCAAAGTGTCTCATTCTTAAGGGCTCAGTCTGCTCCCAGATCTAGGAAACTCCTACTGTATACTCTACTCCATCTTGCCTTCCACCTCTGTGCAGCATTTCATAATTCTGTCTCTCTGCTCCCTCCCTATGGATCCTAGCACTTCCCTTAAAAGGCTTATTAGAATAAAGTGAGATTCTTTTGATCATTCAGGAAAGTTTTAAGAAGAACTTGGCATGTAGCAGGAACTTAATTTGTTGAATTTTAAAAGTCAAAATGAATATCATGGTTGTGAGTAGAAGCCAGAGATGTACAGTCATTTTACCGAGGGTAGGGAAAATATTAACCCTTTCCCTGCTGGTGTTTGATTATAATTCCAAATATAACTAATTCTTTGTGAGAATATAATGCTATATAATGTGTTTTAAAATAGGAATCCACATATAAAACAAGGATGATGACAGTTTAGTGACCAGAGGCTCACAGGAACACAACCGTGAGCTTCTCTGTGCAATAATAATCCAGTATTCACTAAATTAGTATTTACTGCTTTATAGACATAATTACTATGAAGATCAAGAAAATATGTACATATTTCCATCTCTCATTGGCTTTAAGGTTGCTTTTGAACTTATCTCTTTTGTTCATTGATTAAAACTTATTTAGATATATACCAAAGACTGGTATAGCAGCATCATAATGTAGATCTATCTTTAATTTTTAAAGGAATGTCCATACTGATTTCCATAGTGGTTGTATTATTTTGCATTCTGAACAACAGTGTATGAGGTTTCCTTTCCTTTTGTATTGATGCTGAATATTAATGGTATCAAGAAACATGACATGGGCAAGTTTGAATAAAATGCAAGACCTGACCATTTGTGCATAAAAGAAGTACACCTCTGTTCAAAAAGAAATGTACTCATCACCTGACTTAGGTAACTGTAACCCCTCTATACATCACCTTCACAATAACAATAAAAATAGATAAAAAAAGAAATACTCCTCACTGTCAAAGACAAAGCAAACAAGAGTATCTGTACTTATATTTAAAAAAGGAGACTTAAATCCAAAATTAGAAGGGGCAACCATCACTTTATGTTAATTAAGGATTCCAAAGGAATAAAACAATAAAGAATAAAACAAAAGGAATCAGTTGCTAGCATATATGTGCCAAATGTTGGCACACTCAACTTCAGTCAGCAAAAACTGCTAGATTTAAAAAACACAGATTCCAACACAGTAATAGTGAGACTTCAATATCACTTTCACCAACAGATAGCTCATCCAGACCAAAAATAATTTAACAAATAAACTTCATATTTAAATGACATTCCATACCAAAGGGACTTAGCAGAAGTCTACACAATATTTCACAACAGCTGCAAAATACACATTCTTCTTGGAAGCCCATGGAACTTTCTCCAGAATATATAAAGTCCTAAAAAATACAAAGAAATTGCAACAATCCCCTGTATTACATCAAACCATAATGAAATAAAACTAGATGTTAACAGCAAAAAATAGAAACTATGGGAAATATTTTATTTAATTTTTAGTTTTTTATCTTTGCCGGTCATGGGGCCTGAACTCTGGGTCTGGGTGCTGTCCCTCAGCTCTTCAGCTCAAGGCTAGCACTCTACCACTGGAGCCACAGTACCACTTCTGGCTTTTTTCTTTTTGCTTATGTGGCGCTGAGGAATCGAACTGAGGGCCTCAGGCATGCAAGGCAAGTGCTCTACCACTGAGCCACCTTCCCAGCCTCTATGGGAAATATTTTAAAACATAGGGACTGAGCAAAACATTATTGAATGACCAGTGGAGAAATAAGGACATAAACAATTCTGAGAACTTAACAAAAGTAGAAATACAACCTATCAGAACTTTTGGGATTCTCCTTCCAAATGTTTCTATTTCCATGCTATATCCAATGCAGATAAGTTATAAAATTCTTCTCTAGCACGACTGGGATCCTGCCTTCACTTCTGTTATAGTGATTCTTTTCTGTGTTATGATCATTGCAAGTGCTAAAGTTACCAGACTATGAGGTTAGTCCAAAGAGAGGAGGGCTTGGTGGTTCTGACGATCTACTTAGCAGGAAAAGTTAATTCTTGGAGTAGGGCATTTTGGTAGTGAGAAGAAGGTGTAGGAGAGGAGGAGAGAAGTCAAGAACAAGGCAAGTTCACTCTCCTTTGTGCCTTCTCTCTTTTGTTATCATCTTATTACCCACAAAGGTGGGGAATGTTTTCTACCAAGGGCCACTTGGTATGTAATGTTAGCTAGAATTGATGTTTATGTTATTATGAATAAAGCACCTAGTTTTTTCCTAGGATTACCTTGGCAGGGCTAGATCAAATGAACCCAAAGCCCTCAAACCAGATGTTCCTAAAGCCTATGTGAGAAATTATACCCTGGGCAAAGCAGGAGATAGTATATGTAATTTCATGAAACAACAACATTTAGAGAAAACACAGAGACAATTTGTCACATCTCTGCAGATACATTTCTTAAAATATCCTCATTCTCAGATGAGCTTCATGGAATTGCTTCTTTCTTCTCTGAAGAGAAGTAGGCTGATCTGAAGGCACTTATTAGCACAAATGTGTAATGAATAAATGAATGAAACATGAATGAATAAATCATTCTTCATTCAATAAGCTTCAATTTCAAACGACAATTCCACTTCATCTAGCAATGAGCTTTACAGAAACTCTGTTTCTGTCTTGTGCAGGAATCATGGTTTTCTACAGTGCTGGAGCCCTATAGCAGCTAAGAGTGTATCTGGCAATGTGAACTGTACATGGATCTATGTCTCCTCAGATGCTGGAGCTTCCACCTTTGAATTTCAGTATCACACAAGCTTCTTAGCAGACATGAAACCTAAGTCTGGGATTGGAGACCATTGGGATGTATATGTTCAGGGACCCATTTTTGAAAGGTAATGAGTCTGCTTGGATTTGGAAAACCTGGAATTCAGGCTTGAGTTGGCAGCCCTTACTCTGGTCTCACTTTCCTGATTCTGTGTAACAGGGCTGAGTTATCTTGTGAAGTCCCCACCCTATCTCATGCTTTAACACACATGAGGACAGATGTGTGTTCATGTACTCAAGCCACAGTTACTCTTAGAATCTGACTTGTGAAATCAGTAAGACAGGTGGTGGGTCATCTGTAGCGTTCACTCCAGTGCAGAATACGATGGCTTTATATCTCATGCATAAGAATCAGAATGTCAGTTAGGGAAAGATTAGAATTGTTGCTATCCTTGAATGGAGTGTCATATGTAGCCATTCTTCTTTCTGTTTCTATATCTAAAACTCATATTTTTTACACATGATATAATACAGTGTTGAAAGAAAACGTTTTCAAATGACCTCAATACTTTGTCAACAGTTGTATATGACTTGTGACCCATTTTTTTGGTGTTCATGACACATGTTCTTTGGGCATTGCCTGGTTGGATGACTCTATACAATGTCTATAATTCTGAGACTTTTCCTAACTTTGTGGTGATGCTGGTATGTGTAAGAGGTTGGGAATATATCTAAAAACTAGATTTCCCAAAGTTGAGGAAACTGGATGTGTATGAAAACCATGACCGTGGGGCTGGGAAGGTGGCTCAGTGGTAGAGCGCTTGCCTTGCATGCCTGAGGCCCTGGGTTCGATTCCTCAGCACCACATAAGCAAAAAGAAAAAACCCGGAAGTGGTGCTGTGACTCAAGTGGGAGAGCACTAGCCTTGAGCTGAAGAGCTGAGGGACAGTGCCCAGGCCCAGAGTTCAGGCCCCACGACTGGACCAAAAAAAAAGAAAAAAGAAAAAGAAAACCATGACCATAATCATATAGTCTAAAAAGTCAACTTTCTACCCAGTTGGTAATTTTTTAAACACAAAATTCAAATTTAAAGTAAGAAAAAAAATCCTATTGACAAGAAACAAAACAACCAATAGAGCTACAATCAGAAGTAACCCAGGCATTAGAACAGACTGGACATTTACAATAACTCTACAGAAAACTCACATGAAGATATAGATATTTTCAGCAGAGACATAGAAATGTCAAAGAAACAAGAGTCTGAAATTACTACTTTGGGACTCAACGGTACCTACGTTTTCCAAACTCTGTGCATCTGCATCAAATATGCATCCACTGACCCACAAGGAGTCTTCCTTGTGATAACTACAGCTGCTGATAGTAGAATGCAGCAGGAAACTAGTATCATGCTAGGAGACACAGGTTGCTTTCACTTTAAGACTGCAAGCTGTGTGGTAGACAGAGACTACTCATGGGATTAAGCTGAAAACTAAGTCTCAGACCACCAATGTGGCACATTTCCTATCTTTGCCCTCTTTTAAACATGGTGGTTAGGACTCCATAATATTTTCTAACTCTCTACTCCCTTCCTCCAGAAAGTGGGAAAATATGCCAGAAATGGATGCACTACAGCAACCAGGACCTGTGGTTGTGTGTGTGTGTGTGTGTGTGTGTGTGTGTGTGTGTTGTGAAAGTTAAATTATTCCTGTATGTAGATTATGTGGTTCTATGTTTCAAAAACTCTAAAGACTCCACCATAAGACTCATGGAGCTGATAAGCAAATTCAGCCAGGTAACACAATAAGAAAATCAATTTACAAAAAAAGAGCAACTTTGCTATCACCAACAATGAACTTGCTCAGAAAGAAGTCGGGAATGCAATTCCACTCATGATAGCCACAAAAAAATACATAGGAATAAATCTAACCAAGGAGGCAAAAAACAAAGCACAATGAAAATTCTAATACACTCAAGAAAGAAATTTAAGATTCTAGAGGGGAAAGACTTCTCATTTGCATGGTTGGGAAAATTAATATTGTTTTAAAAATGCTCTATTTGCAAAGGTTTTTCAATGAACTCATCACCAAAATCCCAAGATATTCCTGACAGAACCAAAAAAATTTTGGAAGCACAAAAGACCCAAAGCAATCCTGATCAAAAGGAGAAATGCTATAGTAATCACAGTATCTGATGCCAAAGTTTACTACAGAGCTAGGTGCCAGCAGCTCACACCTGTGATCCTTGCTATTCAAGAGGCTGAGATCTGAGAATCACCATTCCAAGCCAGGCTGGGCAGGAAAGATGGTGAGACTCTAACCTCCAATTAACTACCAAAAAGCTATGGCTCAAGTGGTAGAGCAGTAGTCTTGAGCACAAAAGCTCAAGGACAGCTCCCAGGTCCTGAGTTTAAGCCCCAGAACCAGCACTATATGTATTGTATGTATGTTTGTTTGTTTGTTTGTATGTATGTATGTATGTATGTATGTATGTATGTATATGATGATTATATAACCATTACCCTGGTTCCATAGTGCATGTGTATGTATATATGTATATATATTTATTTATATAAAATATGTAGTTATATATATGTTTATTTATTTACTCTGGTGTATATGTGTATAAATATATACCAGAGTAAATAAATATATACATATATGTATATATAAATGAATATATGTACATATATACAGAATGGAAGAAACATTTTGCTATCTCTTCATCTGACAGCATTAATATCTAGAATACAGGGGAAATCTAAAAAGTTACCTTCAGAAACACAGCACAGTCACTAAATAGTTACAGATCTAAGAAAACACAAGTTGTCAAAAATATATTACCAAAGATTCCTAACATGTTTAGCCATCAGGGAAATACATACCAAAACCATGAGTTAGAATGGTTATTGTCTAAAAAGCAAAAGTAAATGCTGACAAAGTCGTACACTGTTGGAAATTTAAACTAGGTTTAGCCACTTTGGAAGATAGTACAGAAGATCCTCAAAAAAGAAAAAAAAACCCAACAACTATAAACAGAAAACCATCTGATCTAGCTATACCACAGATGTGTACCCAAAGTAAATGAAGAGTCAGCATACAACAACAATATCTGTACAGCCAAGGTATGGAATTAGCCTCCTGGATGGAAAAGAAAAATATGGTATATATACCCAATTGAATATAGCCATAATGTAAAATGAAATGATTGCATTTGCAGGAAAATGGGAGGAACTGGAACTCATTTGTAAAGCAATTCAGAAAGTCAGATTTAGAAAGGCAAGTATTCTATGTTTTCTTTCTATTATTTTTGTGTCCTGAGGAAACACCATACTTATTTCCATAGCAGCTGTGCTAATTATCATTCTCATCAACAATATATAAAGGTCTTTCTTTCCTACATCCTTATCATCATTTGTGACTGTTTTCTTGAACATGGCCATTCTGACTGGGGTGAAATGTAATCTCAGTGTAGTTTAGGTTTACATTTCCTTAATGGCTAAAGATTCTGAACATTTCTTCATGAGTCTACTAGATTTGTACTTCTGTGGAAAACTATTCATTTGCCCACTTGTTTGTTAAATTATTTACTCTTTTGGCATTTAATTTTTGGAGCTTTGCATATATTCTGAAGCTAAATGTATTATAATTAACTGAAAAAGATTTTCTCCCATTGTGTGGTACCACATAGCTGCAACCATCTGCTTTTTAATTTTATTTTTTTTTTTGGTGCCAGTTCTGGGGCTTTAACTCAATTCCTGGGCATTGCCCCTGAGCTTTTTTTGCTCAAGGCTAGCACTCTACCACTTTAGCCACAGCTCTACATGTGGCTTTTTGGTGGTTAATTAAAGAGAGAAGAGTCTCCAAGACTCCTGCCTGGGCTAACTTTGAACTGTGATCTCAGCCTCCTGAATAGCTAGGCATTTAGAAAAGCATCTGTTTTTGGACCAAAACCTCAAAAACCCACATTGAAGAAGTGATAGTTTCAACAGAAGAAAACATGTAGAAAACTAAAACTAGACACTTATATCCTATCCTGTAAAAAATTAAGATGGATCAGAGATTTTAATATAAGATCAAAAACTTTGAATTTCCAGGAAATGAAAATACGAGTTTTTTTCCTTTGTTGCTGTTTTTGTTTTCTTTTTGTCTTGTTTGTTCCTCTATCTGTCTTTGGGTGGGTAAAGGGGATGGGAACAGAAATGAAGGGACAAAGGGTGAATAAACGCAACATTATACCCACTAGACACCATGTTGAAAATGAACTATACAACTTGGGGGGAAGGTAGGAGGGGAAAACTGGGAGTGAGGGAAGGGGTGACATTGTCCAAAAAGAAATGTACTCTTTGTCTGATTTATATAACTGTAACACCTCTGTATATTGCCTTTATGATAACAATTTTAAAATTTTTTATAAAAAATACTTTAAATAGCCCTAGACAAATAGTATAAAACCATGAAGATATAGACACTGATAATGCTTTTCCGAACAGAACCCCTAACTGCTCAGAAAATGAGAATTATTGGAAAATGAGATTGCATCAAATTAAAGCTTTTGTTCAGCAAAAGAAATAATCTCTAAAATCAAAGAGAAGCCACCTTTTGAATTAGTGATATTCCATTAACATGTGCCTATATTGGCTATTTCTTACCATATTAATGTAATTGTTTAATTATTAATTATCATTATTGATATTATTAGTTATTTTAATAGTAGTTTTCATATTAAAACTATGAAAACATATTAAAACTTTCATGATATGAAAGTATCCTGGATTTGTACCAACAAATTATTCACGTGTGTGTGTGTGAGAGAGAGAGACAGAGAGACAGAGAGACAGACAGAGACAGAGAGTCGTAGCTCAGGGCCTCAGCACTGTTGCTGAGCTTTAACACTCAAATCTAGGCCTCTACTATTTGATCCACAGCTCCATTTCCAGCTTCTGTCTTTTTGCTAGTTAACTGGAGGTAGAGATTCATAGACTTTCCTGCCTAGGCTGCTTTTGAACCTCAATCCTCAGGTCTTAGCCTCCTGAGAGGGTAAGATTACAGGTGTGAGCCTTTGGCATCTGGCTTGGTATAATTGCTCTTCCAGTGAGTTTTATACCTTCCCATTTTCTCATGTTTCTTCTTCCTGATGCCCATTTCTTTCTTCAAGTTTGAAGAACTCTCTTTAATATTTATTATAGGACAATTCTCATGGAAATATGTTCTCTCAGACTTTTATTTTGTATTTATTTTGGTCTGGGAAATGTTTTTGCCCTCATTCCTTTCTAAAGGACAGTTTCGCTAAGTGCATTATTCTTGCTTGACAAGTTTTTTCTTTCAGCACTGTGACCTTCTCATGCCCTTCTTTCATGGCGGTTTTGATAAGAAGTATACTGTCAGTAAAACTGGGTCACTTCTGCATAGATTGCTTTTCTCTTTTCTCCATGAGAATCTTATCCTTATCTTTAATCCATGATAGCTTGACTCTCAGAAGGCTTGGACTCGATGACCTTGAAATAATTCAATTGATGACATTTGATCTCTCTGCCCTTGGATATTTATGCCCATCTGTGGGGTTTGGAAATCTTTAATTATAATCTATTTGGATAAACTTTCACTTCTTTGACATTACGAAGTCCTATTTTGACTCCAACTCAAATATTTACTTTCAGGGCCATCCCAAAGTTCATTTAACAAGCTTCCCTTTTTTTCTTTCACTCCTAGTACACTTTTGAATGGCCAATATTTGAACTCATACTTTTTTTCTTACGTTGCATCTATCCTGCGATTAATGCCTTCCATCAACATTTAAATTTGAAAATTCTGTGTTACCCAGCTCAAGAATTTTGGCTGGATTTTTTAAAAATTGGATTTATCTCTTTGGTCCATTTATCTATTTGTGAATGGAAATATTTCTCTGGGTTTTCTTCACGTTCATTGAGTTTCCTTAAAACTAAGGGTTCCACCATGCTAATTCACCTCATTGAGAAGTAGGTGAGTCATGAAAATACTAGATACTGACTGGCAGGTGATAGTACCTGGCTATTGAAGGATCAGATATTTATTCCACTCTTCCTAATCTTTGCCTGGCTTCCCCAAAATTCTAAGCAGGCTGTTTGCTTTCTTTGCTCTTTATTTCCTTTGACAATTTCAACACTAGATGATTCCCCTGACTGGGTTTGCAAGGAATCTGCTATTGGTGTGTTATCACTTTTTCCACTCTAGAGGACAATCCAAGCCCTGGCTTGTCCCAAATACTCTTGCTGGTTTATTGTTCAGAAAGAAATAGGAGAGTACCTAAAA